TTGGCTATTTCAGCTAGAGGTGGCCTAGAGCCACTGGGCTATGGGTTTCTCGCTTGGCTTTGGAAGGGCTTGGTGTCACGGTGAGGCCTCGAGGGTAAAACCCTCCTCTGCCCCGTTCTGCAGTGTCACAGCTGTTAACATGTGATGCCAGGGAGCTCCACAAGCACTAGATGTTAGGACAAGCCCTTCCGCCCCAACCGGAGCTGCTTCCCTTCGGTCTCCGCTCCTCTGGGAGGGAGAAATGGCCCTGGAATCGCAGACATGAGCCCCTACCCACAGCCACTCGCCCAGCAGCAGCGCTGCCCGCAGCCTCCGCGCGTCTCAGGCACTTCTCTGGGCCCCGCAACAACCCACGACCGTCAAAGCCAGGCTCTACAACAGGCAGGTTCTTTGGAGACCGGCTAAACCTCTCCTGCCGGGCAGGGAGTCAACACAAGCACTTTGGTAACCAGAAGCCGGGTGCTGGCACTGACAGGGTGGGAGCAGCCAGGGAGGCTGCTCCGCTGATCCCAGTTATCGGCTCTGCTCAAAGGAAAACAGGGCCCAAAGGAAAAAGATCACAAAAGTGATTTTCAGTTGGAGACAGCAAATCTGAAGCTTTGAGTACCTCATTGCCAAGGGGTAGAAGCATTTCTGAGCCTGACCTGAGCGTAACGAGGACACCACGACAAGTCACTTTTTGGCAGAACCTGGTGCTACCAAACCAGGAACCTCCCACCACCATCAGTACCGTGCAAGAGGCTGGAGGCAGCTTTCCAGCGCTCTGTCCCTGCCCTGCAACACAGGGGAAGGGCCTGGGCTAACCTGGCACCTCGCTCTTTCGCCTAGGGAGGGCTCTGGCCTCCTGAGCTCCAGCTCTCAACAGAGCAGCAAATGTGCAATCCCGCCTGGGAAGTCCCCTGGCCGGGGTGAGGGCGCTCGTCCTCTCTGCGGCCCAGCTGGCATGAAGGCTGCTCCCTCCCCTGCGCTGCGACAAGATGCCCGGCCTCCAGTCACACGCGTTCATCGCTGGACCAGAGCACCCCTCTGTATCCAAGGACCAGGTATTTCTTTGGGTCTATTCAAAGCCACACAGTGAGGGCCAGGCAGTGAGCTGTGCAGCACACCAGGCTCTGCGTCACTTGCTGCTTTTCAGCACACGCTAGCTTTGCACCTCAGGGTTTGCAGCGCAAGGGCACCTCATCGCAGGCCAGCCACCATCAGGATGAAGCCTGGGGGCAGCATCACAACAAGAGGTGCTCTGCAGAGCATTGTTCCCTTCCCCACGCAGCCCTGGTTTCCTACTGGTGACCCGGGAAAGCTTGACAGCTGGCACACACGTACTAGCTTTAAAACCCACAGACGTGTCTTATTACGTGTCATATAAAATACAGCACATCCTTCAGGTGAGACTAGTTTCTAGCGACACTCTGTGTCAGCACAAGGAAGATGCACATTCCGGCTGGTCCCGGCGAGCGCGGCGGCATTCGCCGTGCCACAGGGTACTCAGGACACTCGCGAGGAGCCAGCGCTGCTCCTTGCCACCCCCCGGGCAGCAGTGCTGCGGCTTGAGCAGCCCTGCGCCCACGGCTCCCTCTCTGGTTTCCTGCCCTCTGCGCTGATCTGAGCCCCACGTCACCGCTGCCACAAGCCCGTCCCCACCTGGGCAGGGCCCTGAGGAGCAGCAGGAGCAGCTCGCCCGGCTCCCCCGCGCTCTCTGCGGGCCTGAGGGGAGTGCAAAGGGCCGTATCCTGAGATACCTACTCTTGCCAGCTCCAACCGCACAAAAAGGCACTTCTTAAAGAAAAGAAAACCCTAAGGTGAGGAGAAAGGGGATGTAAGTCTAGGAGAACAGAGTAGGAACAGACCAGGCCGAACAAGCGGCTGACGCCTCTTCACACAGAGCCCAGGAGCGGCCAGCGCGGCCGGCGGCCGTCTCCCCC